ATGACTGATAAAATATCTGACATGACTGACTTGAAAGGTTGTTATTACCTGAAATCATATTACTCCGGTTTCAGCTTCAAGCCTCCATGGTATACCCGGCTGAATGGCTCTTATTTCAAGCCTCCATGGTAACCCGGACTATTGACTCTTATACACTGGAAACCGTTACCTTAACAATGACTTGAGAATTGTAACAACTTTTAACATAAAAATTTTCGCCTTGAACATGATTTACTGATCTGACTTAGGAAATTTGAGTCAATTCCTCGAATTGAATCAAAGAATTTCTCCCTGAAGTCTGCCAATTGATTGGCAAAATGACAGTTTTCGATAGAAATATCTGAGAAACGTGATTATTAAGATTTGTTTAGCACAAATGCTTACAAATCTCCTGACAAGTTGCTAACTTGACTTGAACAAATCAAGAATTAAATCCAGAGTTCTCAAACTTAATCCCTTTCTAAAGGTTCTAAATCCACTCGTCCACGGTATGGGGATCTCCCTGCCCAGAAAATTTCTCGGCCTGATAGTCGCGGAACTGCGCGACTACTGTGGCCTGAGTAATCGGGTTCCCTACGGGGCGGTATCTGATCATTGGGAAAGTTCAACATTATTGAACACATGATAATATACTCTGACTGATTACTAAGGCACACAGATCTCTTCACGAGTCGCCAAAAAATGGCCGATAAATACTGACGTGAAACCTGAGGAACTCTAGAATCATATCAGAAAATACTGAGTTATAGAGTCATATCTGAATGTCCTGAATTCTAAAGTTCGATCCTGATTCGAGCATCTTAACTAGGTCCTGATCCATAATTTCTAAGCATAGACAAAGTAATATGTTTATAACTGAAAACATAAATCAACACTTACCTGTCATCGGCGAGGCGTGATCATGACGGTTCAGGTTTTTCTGAAAATTACTGACTGAAAAACTTTTCAGTGACGCAGAAACGTGCTCTGATACCAATTGTAACACCCCGCCTTATCGTGAAATCAGAGTGCGAAAATTTCGCAAAGTTATTAAAAATAAATATTTTACTTTACGAAAACTGATTCGGGGTGCTACTGTAAATCGTGACTTTATTTTGGAAAACCGTTATTTTAATTTTTTAACCAAATCATACGGTTTACTGAAACCATAAATTTTTCCGAAAGTCTGATCAAAAGATAAGTTCGTCAACATCAAAGTCAGCGGAAACGTGATATCGTCAAAATATACATTCATAACATAAAAGTCCTGAAGCATTCGTCATCTCACGCTCCCGGCCCGACATCCTGACCTGAAAAACATGATAAAAGTGGGAAATGAGCACTATGGCACTGTGCTCCGTGGAAACTCATACTAATGTAAACATTGAAAATAATAACAACATCATGATCTTGGCATATACATAACCACAACATGAAACCGGTAATAACATGAACATGAATCTGATATCATCACGTGAACGTGAACCATGACCGTTACCTCATCTGTCGGCAAAGTCGGACACCATGTGCACACTCGAGAGGCAGACTAGGGCCACTAGAACCCAGAATGGACCGGCGACCATTCCGAGCAGATACATGACATGAAATACATACCTCAAACATGGTACCGTAATTATAATCAAAGTAGTACTTAGTCTGAGTCCCCACCTGATCCGTGAAAATAAAGGCAGTGCTGATACTCGTGACCTGATCAAACTGAAATATAATATAAACAATTACTAATGACTATGCTCAGACCGTTAACTTAACTGATTAATTTTGTTAAGATGCTTTTATTGAACGTGACTTGATATTTGGACTTAACCGGAATAACCGGAACTGATTTGACATGAACTGATCGGACATGAATTTACTGAACTGAACTGAACCCAGAATATTAACTGAATATGCCATTAAAATCGTGAACCAGCTGAAACCATAACGTACGGGCTGAACCGGTAAAAATGGGACTGCCTGATCGGACTAAAATAATTTCTATTACCTCAGGCGATTGCTATTCAGAAAAGATCGGATGGCTGCCTGATCTTCGTCCTGCAAATCATCATCCTCATGCCCGCAGAAGTCTTCCCTCCCTCGAAAGCTTATCAAGGAAGACTCCTCGATCTCCTCGGCCTCCATATCTTCATTCTCGGCCTCACTCTCCTCAATGTCCCACATTACAAAATAATTGGTTAGTTATGCTAAAAAATAACACGAACAATTATATAAATAAATAAAAAAAAAATCATAGTTTAATTACTCACCATAGGCAGCTTCAGCTTCAGTTTTTTTCTCTTTTTTTCTGTCTTTTGGGACCAGATGATGGGGGCGTCACAAAATCGACAGGCTTCTCCCTTTTCTTCCTCCCCCGCCGCTCTCGAACCCTCTTCATAATAGAGGAGGCCTGTGGCTTCTCCTCCGTTGGTAAGTGCGGGCCGGCCTCATCCTACCGACTTGACATACCAACTGACTCCATCACAGCGTCGATGAGTCGGTCCAAATCATCGTGCTCTTCAATTTTTTTCTCAAAGGGTACAAGGCCCATTTTTATTTTTCTTTTTCCTCCTCATCCTCCAGATTCTTCTCTTCCTCTATGTCATTCTCTTTCTCCTTCTCCTTTTTTTCTTCTTCCTCATAATCGGTCGGGACAAAAAATCCTTCACCACCAGCAGAAGTTTCTCGTTGCTCCTCAGCAGCTGTTGCTTCTAGTTCCTCCTCAGTCTCTTTTTCTTCTTCCTTTTTTTTCTCTCTCTTTCTCCAAAACTTCAAAATTTTTTCTCAATTCTTCATTTTCTTTAAAAACCATGGCCAGTATACGGGTCTCCACCGTTCCCTGTATATAAAAGGTAAAACATAATATATTAATGTTGAAACATAAATATATTAATGTTGAAACATAAATATTAAAGGCAACCTGACACTCCACAAAGCCACGCTCGGCAACAGCTGTCGATATCGAGTACACCTACAAAGCAAATCACAATGATATCGATTAACCCAAAAAATAAAAAGAATAAGAAAAACATAATACTATAACACTATATAAATTACCTTGTGTCTCTTTACTTTTTGAAGGGATTTTAAAGACCCTTCCAGTGTAGATGGTAAATGGCTCCCCGTCCATCGAAATAGACGGGGAATCGCCTCGAGCATGGAGCGTTTGCCCAGGGAAGGCACCCGCTCGTACAACCAAGCCTACACAAAAATGATTCCAAAATTACACAATCCCACAATTGAATATTGTTGTAATATTATTGTAATATTGTTGAATTAAGAAATTGAAACACATATATACATACCATCAAACCCACAACACAACCATCGAAATACGACAGGTGAATCGGTATGACGCACCAGCTCAGCAACAAGGAATTTGTGAGTAGCATCTCCCCATGCATACTCACAAATCCTACTCACATCCTCTAGGTAAGGATAAACAAACCTAGGGATGGAGTAACTAGAACAGGGAAACAGTATACAACTAAAAACAAACAGACTGTACATCCTGATGAAGTCGTCAACACGACCTTCATCGACAGAAAATTTTTCCAACAAATCTACCACATCTTTTCTTTTCAAAACCTTTTTATCTAACCGGCCCCAACTGTCAAATAGGGCTTTACAATCCAAAGAAAGGTCTAAGTCAACACTTAGACCACCTTGGCGCAGCCCCATTGTGACACAAAATTCAGCCGGATCAAAATTCAAAAATAATTGATCACCAACATAAAATGCATTAATGTCAGCCCTATATAAGCTAATCAAGGCTTCAAGTCTAGTATGTGAAACAGGGTCTCAGGCATATTAACGAAAAAAATAAAAAGGGTTTTGTCGAAGAGCCTCATGGTGTTGTTTAATTAACAAAATAAGAATTTGGTCCATCACATCTTTGAAGTAAGACGGGGCGCATCGACATCTAAATGCGGTTGCCTATTATAAACAGAAAAATATGAAAAAGTCGTAAATCATAAATCAGTGAAAAAACCCTAAATCATAATCATTAAAAAGCACTAAATCATAAAAAATACCTAATCAGACATGCCTCAAAAATTAGGAAAAAGAATCAGAAAATTCAGAAAAAAGCCCTAAATTATGAGGATATTAGGAACACAAACAGACATTAACAAATAACCCCAAACTAAAAAAATTAACAATAAAACCATAAATTTAACGAAAAATGCATGTGTTTGGAATTTAGGAAATATTAGCAAATTAGGAACAAAAATCAAAATTAGCAGAAAGAAGCCCTAAATTATCACAAATTAGGATTAATTTCATATAATTAACCAAAATCCCTAATTGACAAATTAACTAAGAACCCTAAAATTAGAAAATAAAATCAACAAAATTATAAAATACCCGTTTTAATGTCTTTGTTGGTGACTTGGCTGGTGTGGAGGAGGATGACGGCTTGTTCCCGTCGAGCTTCTTCTTGCCGCCGGCCATCCCGACACGGACAAAGAGATTGCAGGCAGAGAGGGTGAGACGGACAGAGAGATCGCGAGACAGAGAGATCGTGAGACGACGATGACGGCGGTGAGACGACGGTGGTGAGTTAAAGATCGCGGGGGAGAGAAGATGACAGAGACAGAGATCGAAGCGGAGTGAAAAAGTGAGTTTGGTTTTTTTTTTGGACAGAGACTGAGAGACGATGAGATAGAGAGAGAGTAGATGAAAGAGAGACAGGTGATTTTGGTCTTTTTTTTACAAATAAATGAAAAATATTATTATTAGTATATATAGGGGGAGTGAAAAGGAAAGATAAATTTTTATTAGGGACTGACATGTCATTTTGGAGCATTATGGACTGAAAAGGAAGTTGAAATTTGTATTAGGGATTTATCTAGAATTATCCGTTGAAATGAATAATATTTCACCCACTTTGTATTAAATTATTTTAGAACTCCTCATTCGGCCCAGACGCCTTAAAAACCCTAATTTCCGTTCCATATATAAAATATTTATCATCACCACAAACTCGCGAACTTCACAATTCTCCACAGAAGAAAAGCACAACAAAAATGCCGGCGGGGCACGGTCTGAGATCGCGCACGAGGGATCTGTTTGCCCGTCCCTTCAGGAAGAAGGGCCCGACTCATCTTTCAACCTATCTCCGGGCCTATAAGATAGGGGACTATGTCGATGTCAAAGTTAACGGGTCGATCCACAAGGGTATGCCCCACAAGTTCTACCATGGGCGCACTGGTCGAGTTTGGAACGTCACCAAGCGTGCTATCGGGGTTGAGGTCAACAAGCAGGTATCGATGCTTCTCTAGTGTATTTTCATTTGTTTTCTGGTTCAAACATCTTTTAATTACGTGAAGTATGCATTTGTAGTTTTAATTTTCTTAATATTATGAATAATTGGAGATGATGTCAGTTGCTGTATATCACGATTACATTATTCGTAAATTCAAGGGACATGTTTCTGTGCAGCTAGCTATGTCAAATCCTTGATTTATACTGGTTTTAGTGCAAGTTGGAACTAATATCTGCCTAATGTGTTTTTTCTTACAATTTGTGTGTTTATTCTATTATGCCTAAGATGGTCTTATTTGGATTCCTGAGTGTTTTGGTGGAAGTTGCTTGAGCTCATGGGTTTTCCTTTTCTAGTGATGATGTCTATTCGATGCAATGATGAAAGGTTCTCTGCAAGTGGTGGTTGCACAACTTTTCTAGTGATGATGCAAATGAACATATCATAGGGACGTTTTCGCTTGATTTCAGTATTCTTTATGTCTGTGAGAGAAAATCTAAGGCTTGTTTTCTCAAAACATTTGCAGTTGCTGACTGATAGCTTTCGCCTTGGCCAGGATTCAGAGCTTGTACTGCTTACATTCTTAGATTTCTAAAACAATTTTATCTTGAAATTGTAATTTTTGCAATCTGCAATTTAGAATATTTTAAATTCAAATCCACGAGCATTCAATTTGAAATTGTATTTTTTTCAAGTTCAGGGAACTGCATATTTTCTACAATGTTTACCGCAAATATTTTTTTTTTCTCTAACTTGTAATTGTTACCTCACTACAGCGAACACATTCTTATCTGGGGTTTGTATTTCACATTGTCCCTTCATTAAGAATTCGCATCTTTTTTTGAAATTTTCTTACCATGGTATACTTTCACATCATGAACCTTTCTATTTTATTTGTGCACAACTATTATACTTGTCTTTTCCCATTCATATGACACTGTTGACTTCTTCTTTCGTTGTGTCCATGTATGGGTGCAGGTTGGTAACCGAATCATAAGGAAGAGAATTCACGTTCGTATTGAGCATGTTCAGCCCTCACGTTGCCACGAGGAGATACTTGAGAGGATCAAGAAGAATGATAAGCTGAAGGCTGAGGCCAAGGCACAAGGTAAGATTATTAGCACCAAGAGACAGCCAGAAGGACCCAAGCCTGGTTTTATGGTTGAGGGTGCAACTATCGAGACTGTGACTCCAATACCATATGATGTTGTCAATGATCTCAAGGGTGGTTACTAAGGTTTTGAGCATTCAGCTAAGTGGGGTATTCCTTTGAATTTTTGTGTCTGTTTTGTTTTTTAAGTGTCAGTTCAATGTTGTCTTGTTCGTTGCACATTTGATTAACTCGGAATTCCGAAGCGATAATTAAGTGGAATGTTATCTGGTCTGATTTACTTCCAGATCTTGGTGGTATATGATTTTTTATCTGTTGGATGAGCTTGTTTGAACAAATTTGCAGCTGGTGATTTTCTGTTATTAAGCATTGTTGTGAAATATAAACCCTACAAATGAAATGAATTAATTTGACTATTTTGCTCTTGGTGTAATTGTATTATTACGATTTTGCCATTAGGAGGTTTTCTATAAATAAGAGTTTCCCTTATAATGAAAATATACTCAAGAGAATCATTCTTTTTCCTCTTGTTTTATCACACATTATAAGCACGAGTTTTTACCTTCAAGAGTTCGATTTGTAATATGATGAGAGTATACTCTACGGATGCATCTTAGAGATGATTGAATTATTATGTATCGTTATTTTCAGATCCTTGCTGAAAACTTTTATCTTTGTCATTCTGAGATGAAAAAATTATTTGGTAAAAAAAATGGTAATCTTAAACTGGTAACTGGTAAGAACAATTTCACTCCAGGACAGTGGAAATGTTGGAAAACCATACATGAGGTATGTCAACGTCTCTTCAAGTAATTAGTATTTTGCATTAGCAAACATGCAATCAAACTACATAGATATTTTTCTTACAAGAATGAATAAAATTGAAATCGAATAAACTCGGACTTGTTTTGGAAATGAAGAGCTACTGTTTGAAGAATCCAACTTTTTCTGTTGTTTTCTCACAAAATATTTCACTAGAGTTTACAAAGAAAAAAGAATAAATACGGATGAGATGAAATTATCTTGGAACTGGTAGTGAGCAGAGGCCATTTCAAAACATGAAAATAGTGTAATAAAAATGACGGGACGGGTTGAACGAGTCTACAAAAATAAAGAGAAGGATAATTGTCGGCCTTAGGTACAGGAAAAAATAGCTGGTATATATATATATATGTATTCATGTCTTGGGAGTTGGGACACCTTGACTTGGCCTAACTATATTTGACTGAAATTATTAAATGAACATGAACTACAAAAGGTTTCACTTCTTTTTGTTTGGTGCTTATATCAAATGCTGAAACACATATATCGCTATACAAAAATTCTATGGAGCCATCGGATTGTTTTCTTATGGAGTCATCCATTACTTAATATAGTGACACCTGTCTAAATTGTATTTACTGTAGGACACGTGTCAATGCACTATTGGTGATTAAGTATGGATTGCTCCATAAGCCGAGCCATCCGATGGCTCCACAAAAAAACTGTATCACTATAACCATTAGTATTGACATTTTAATAAATTTATACTGTTTATGTGAAAGATAATCAAAGAATATGATATAGTTTACTTGTTGTATATAAAAAGTTGGTTCCACTATGGACCTATTGCCTTCATAGCGAAACTCTTTTTTTTCCCATTTGCAAGATTATTAATTTTATAAAGGTCCATTTGGTTGGGTTGATTAGCCTTGATATCACTTAATTTGTTATTTTATCAAGATGATTAAGTTGTTTGATTGGACATATTTTTGCCCTGAAAATTGAGTTCGATCCGAACCAATATCCTATAAAATATTAATACTCTATCTCACCAAATTGGCAAGATAGTGTATAATTTATCATTTTCCTCTTCTACCCATGTTCTTTCTTCCTCTTCTCTTCTTCGTTGCTTTCCCATTTTCCTCCGCCAACCCCACGTCGTCAAGCTCTTCCACGGCGTCCACCACCACCACCAATCCCATCTCACATGATTTCCCCTCCACTAGATCCACCGCCGCTACTTCCTTCCCTGAACCATTGACTTCTGCTCGTTCAACCCCATCTTTGTCAGTTGGCACCTCCTCCCTCAGTTCTTCTATGTCGTCGGCCGACCGCACGCCTTCCCAGAACCCATCGATTTCCGATCCTTCGACCCCACCTCTCACCGCTAGCGCCTCCCTGAGTCCCTGTACACCGTCCAGGGGCGGATCTAGAAAAATAAACTTGGGGGTGGGGGGGGTGGGGGCATTATTTTTAATGACATATACTTAACAATGAAGAAATAAAGTAACAATTTTGGAATAAAATAAGTTGTAATAAAAGAATACATACCTTCAAACTTCGTTTCTACTTGAATTGTGCTCGACGTTCTTTCAAGTCACTAAACCCATCAATGGTTGACTCGGTACTAGTAGATCTTGCAATTTCTCGTTCGATGAAGATAGTCAAAGAATTTAGAGGAAAGTCATCTTCCATTTTACTTCGAAGTCTGGATTTAACAATAACCATAGCCGAGAATGCACGCTCAGTTGTCGCCGTAGACACCGAAGGAGTGAGAATCAGCTTGATTAATCTATCAATCAACGGCTAAACCAAAGATTTTATACTTGTTGCCATCCATTGACACAAATCAGAGATAGTACACAAAGTTTGAAATTCTGAATGCTGGAGAACATCAATCTCATAATGTTTCAGTTGAGCTTGTAGTAAATCTTTTTCATAATCCGTGGAGTCCCCAAGATAGGATTCACTGACAAGGAGGCACGCATCATCTATATTAAAAGACAATCGAGAATTGCGAGGGTCAAACATAGAGCTAAGAACAAGTAGCTTCACGGCATGCTCACTAAACATGTTGTTTAGCTCTTGCAATTGACAATCTATTTTAACCGTAAAATATTAATATGATAATGATCCCCGATTGTAAATAGATTTTGCTTGTTCCGAGATCATCCTCCTCTTTCTACATATAAAGCATTAATATCAGGCATATCGATTGCACGACTTCCACAAAAAGACTTTACCTTGGAAAAGACTGTTATATCCATCATCTCTCAATTTTTGGATAATGAACATGAACTACAAAAGGTTTCACTTCTTTTTCTTTGGTGCTTATATCAAATGCTGAAACACATATATCACTACAACCATTAGTATTGACATTTTAATAAATTTATACTGTTTATGTGAAAGATAATCAAAGAATATGGTATAGTTTACTTGTTGTATATAAAAAATTGGCTCCACTATGGAACTATTGCCTTCATAGCGAAACTTTTTTTTTTCCCATTTGCAAGATTATTAATTTTATAAAGGTCCATTTGGTTGGGTTGATTAGCCTTGATATCACTTAATTTGTTATTGTATCAAGATGATTAAGCTGTTTGGTTGGACATTTTTTTACCCTGAAAATTGAGTTCGATCTGAACCAATATCCTATAAAATGTTAATACTCTATCTCACTAAATTGGCAAGATAGTGTATAATTTATCATTTTCCTCTTCTACCCATGTTCTTTCTTCCTCTTCTCTTCTCAGTTGCTTTCCCATTTTCCTCCGCCAAATCTAAGTCGTCAAGCTCTCCCACGGCGACCACCACCACCACCACCAATCCGATCTCACATGATTTTCCCTCCACTAGATCCACCGCTGCTACTTCCTTCCCTGAACCATTGACTTCTGCTCGTTCGACCCCATCTTTGTCTGTTGGCACCTCCTCCCTCAGTTCTTCTATGTCGTCGCCTTCCCCTCTATCGTCGTCGGGCGACCGCACGCCTTCCCAGACCCCATCGACCTCCGATCCTTCAACCCCACCTCTCACCGCTAGCGCCTCCCTGAGTCCCTGTACGCCGTCCAAGGGCGGATCTAGAAAAATAAATTGGGGGGGGGGGGGCATTATTTTTAATGACATATACTTAACAATGAAGAAATAAAGTAACAATTTTGGATTAAAAAAAGTTGTAATAAAAGAATACATACCTTCAAACTTCGTTTCTACTTGAATTGTGCTCGACGTTCTTTCAAGTCACTAAACCCATCAATGATTGACTCGGTAGAAGGAGAGGATTAGTAGGAGATTTCCTTCCTACATTAAATTAGTATTGGAGTAGAATTAGGTTTCCTAGGCCCAATGGAATAAGCCCATATTTAGCGCACCTCCTTAAGGTCCCTAATGGAGCCTATAAATACACCATGTCCGAACCTCTCCTAAAATGTAATGTTGGCCGATTTTCTCACCTACATACACGCGTGAAATATCATCGTTCGAGAGTTAGGGAGATTCGATTAAACGCTCCACCAAGTTTAATCGAAGTAGGTGTTTAGGTAATCTATTAGAAGGCTTTTGGGTACAATTAATTGAGCTTTCTAATATATATATATATATATATATATATATTCCGGTCATCATCACCACGATATTGCCGCCGTCCGCCGCCGTGAAGAATCGCCGGAATTCGCCAACCACCGCTGGAAGTCGCTCGAGCCCAGCCTCGCGCAACCGCACGCCACCGCGCGCAGTCGCACATAGCCAGGCCCGACGCTAACTCCCAGCAGCGACCACGAAGGACGCCCGCGAGATCCCCGACGCGCCTGTCTGCTCGCGATCCGCTGTTGTCGCTAGTCGACCATCGCGCACGACCCCAGCGACGCCTGACTGCTCGCTGTTCATCGCCAGTGCGCGAACGTCACGCGCGCACCACACGATCGCGTCCCTGCTGCCGTGCCCAGCAAGTCGCGTGTCCCCAGACGCCAGTGCCCAGGCCTAGGAGTGCTGCCCCTGCACGCGCGCGCCTTCCCAGCGTGATGCGGAAGTGGGTTTCGAGCCCCGACGAGGAGATGGTCCATAGACAGGTAACATTCGGGCGCAAGAAAGGGCGTATTAGAAAAGGGCGAGAATACGCACATTGGCGTAGACGCGCATGGCCCAACGGGGCTACAAGCGATGGCGCGCCTTGGGCGTGGGATGAACGAGGGGCAGCGCTGGGCACACGGGGGTGCGCGGTAGGCGAGCAGGCCGCAGTGCGCCGTTTATTCACAACCATCGTATAGACAGAAAGTCGATCCATCATCATTGGTGCTTTCATTGAGAGGTGCTGATCGATTTTTTTGTCTTTCTTATCTTTTTATTTTTTTTTTCGGTTTGC